TAAAATAAAGATTTGTAAATGAATAGTTATATTTTATTTACTAATTTTTATTTTGTAATATAATATAAATTAAATTGAAGAACAAGAACTCTTATCTTTTAACTAATATATATGGGACAAACCTTAATATTGGAGGTTGTCTCGCCCAAAGGTCTTTATTTTGCCGTTTATTACTCAACTATAAAAAGTCAACTCAAAAACACTTTGTCTTTACAAAGGTTTATGTGCAATTCAGAGAGCTGCACAACAAAAACTCTTACATGAGTGGCTATCTCCCATTTAATAGTTTTTATTTTATAGTATAGTATAATCTAATGAAAAAATATGAAATTCTTGTCTTTAAACCAATAGACTTATATATTGCTGGCAAGGATGAACCTAGGAAATTTGGTTAAGGGGGGCAAAAAATATTGCTGAAGATGTGAGTCTTCAAGTATCTTTTGAGCACTAATTTATTTTCTTCTAAATCCTCTTTCTTTTATAAAAATACTCACATGTGATGATCTTTTTTATTGATATATTCTTAACAAAAATTAAAAATAAATATATTTATTAAAATGAAAAACAAAATATCATAGTAAAAAATTATGCAATAATCAATTGAAGAATGAATTAAAAAAAAAAAAGAGGAGAAAAGTGCTTGTTAATTGAATCTTTGAAAAATTAGGAGTAAAAATATTATTAAATTATGTTATTTTAATAAACTCATATTGAAAAAGACAAAAAACAACCTATTCATAAAGTAAGAATGAGAGTATTTTGATTTTATCGAAATAATTTAATTTCGAGATGTTTAATTTCTTTCTTTATTTTTTGGAGAATGTATTGATAAACACTAATATTGTAAAAAAAAAAAAAACTAGAATATTTCTTTTAAAAAATGAAATATAACTTAGATTGATTTAATACAAAAAAAAAACATGATTATAAATTCAATCATAAATAATATGCTTGGTTTGAGGGAAATGGAGTTTAAGGGGAGGGAAGAGATTTTTTTACTAATGAGATTGCAATATTTTAAAACATTATAATTTGATTTATTAAAAAAACTCTCTCTTCTCGTCCATTGTATTTCCCTCAATCTAAATATATTAAAAAAGTAAAAATATAGCTCGATACCAGAAAAGAATTTAAATTATTACACATAATATTAAGAAATAAAATAAAAAAGAATACTAAAGAAAACTACAAATTTAAACTTACTTAAACAAAAAATTAAAGTTTTTTTTTTTTAGCTTAATAGGTGAGGAAATGTGTAGGGAGCCCTAATTCCTAATTAATCAAATTGACATAAAATTCATTTCATTTGAATCATATCCTTTTTTTTTTTCAAAAACTCTTTATTTAGCTTCTAAATGTATATTTCTATATATTTGAAATGATTTTTAAAATTCATACTGTGAAAACAAAATTTTTAACAAATAAAAATTAAAGTACCATATTAAATGTTTTAAAAAAATTTAGGGGTGGCTGCCCCTTCCTCCTTCATTGGCTCATTTCTTAGTTGTTATTATTAAGATCACTTAATTATATTTAATTTAATAGTAAAAAAACTAATAATTATAAAATAATTAATATTTATTATTTAATAAATTAAAATTAATTTATAAATTAATTTTTTTAAATATCATTACTCATTATTTAAAAAAATTATAAATAAATACAATATCAATCAAATTAAAATATCTTTTAATACTCTTGACAAAATGGTAGTAGGACAAAAGCACACCCCAATAGTCTAACACCTTATCATCTCACCCAATTACCTCAACCACTTTATATTGGCAAAACCTGTTAAAATTGATGCTAGAATCAAATCACGGACAACATATTCCGAAGTATAGTTCGAGTTGGAGCCCTTTTTTAAAGGGAAAGAGACAACGGCTAAAACTGTTATCTTTCCCGGGTTTAGACTCTACAGAAAATTCCCTCCTCGTCGTCTCTACGCTAATCGCGTCTCAATTTTCCACAAAGAAAAGAGAGAGAATGGAGAACCAAAAATCCAGCCGAAACGCCGACATTGTTGACTGCAATTCACTCGCCGTCGACGGCGATGTTCCTAATGGATCGGCTCTGATCTTTCTCGGGACTGGGTGCTCCAGCGCCATCCCCCACGTAATGTGCTTGATTCAGCCTTCTAATCCTCCCTGCCAAGTCTGCTTCCAGTCCCTCTCCATCCCGCCCGAACGCAACCCTAACTACAGGTCCCCCATTTTCTCTATTAATTTCTTTGCCATAAAGATTCGATTTTTCACTATAATCATGTTATTCTATGGTGTTTTTTTTATTATTATTATTGATTCATCGATCCAGAAATTTTAGAGGAAAATATGTGAATAATGTGGTGAGACTGCCTTTTTCTGTTGAGAGAAGCGAGATAAATCTTGGAAATTCCGGATTTTTATTTTAATTTGATTGTGGGTCTTTCAGGTGTAATACATCACTGCTTATAGATTACTGTCAGAGTGATGGTAAACACAACTACATATTAATTGATGTTGGGAAGACATTCAGGGAGCAAGTTCTTCGATGGTTTACTTTCCATAAGATACCACGAGTTGATTCGGTGAGTTGTTTTTATTACATTTTCTCCCACAATTTTGTTGTCAAGTGGCTAGTCCGTTTTGTTTGTACTAATTTATGTATGAACCACAGATCATTTTGACTCACGAGCATGCTGATGCGGTTCTTGGTCTGGATGATATACGTGCTGTGCAACGGTATAGTCCCACAAATGATACTGATCCAATTCCCATTTACCTGACAGAGTTTGCAATGGCAAGGTATGACTAGGGTTGTTGTTTGGAGCAATTCTGCACAGAAAATTTTCAATTACAAATAAATTTTATGTTGGAGACTGATGCCACATGCAAGATTTTTTTATGCTGATTGCATATGCATTGTTTAATAAAAAAGTAAACTACCACCCTCTTCAAGATCTGGAAGATAATATCCATTTTTCCATGGGAGCACCTTTATATATTTATCAGCCCCGTAAAGTTTTCTTCTCCAAAAGTTCTGTCTGGGTTTTATTCTGTATCTTGAAACCTAGCTTTTAGCTGATGCTTTTATGTGCTGTCCTTTTGAAATAGCATTGCAAAGAAATTTCCATACTTGGTTCAGAAGAAACTTAGAGAGGGCCAGGAAGTGAGACGGGTAGCACAGGTTGATTGGAAGATAATTGAGGAGCAATGTGATAAACCATTTGTTGCATCACACCTGCAATTTGTTCCTTTACCAGTTAGTCTTCTGTCCCTAAATATGATAGATCATTGGCATTAGCACTCAAGCATGTTTTGGCACTCTTACCCATCTTGTTTTGATTGAATGTAGGTGATGCATGGTGAAGATTATGTCTGTTTGGGTTTTCTTTTTGGTGAAAAATGTAAAGTGGCATATATATCTGATATATCACGTTTCCCTCCAAACACAGAATATGGTGAGTTTTGCTTTAGATTCTCTTGTTACAGACCCATGTATAAGTACAACTCAATGACATACTGTACCACTCAATGATATACTTCATCATGAAGATTTTCAGGAGTTTTCTCTGAATCTTCACCGAACCCTTCACCTTCTATTAAGAGAAGAAACATGATGAGAAATGAAAATCATCCTTGCTTTTTTTAAGAAGTTTAGATTTTGTCTGATTTACTAGAAAGTGTTACTTCCAGCTTTTGATCTGGTTTTTATCTTGTTCAGTGGTGACATTACTGCTTCCTAAATCTACCTTTCCTATTGACCAATATTCTACATCTTTAACCAATCTATAGCTGGTCTACCTCCTTGATAGATTTCAAGTTGAGTATTAATCTCTTTCTCTCTTGAAATATGTCACCTTCTTGGCAATTAAAATCATGAATTCTTTGTATGGTTTTCTTGTTAAACTCAGTAGTTGAAGCTCTTTTCAGCTAAAAGAGAAAGGCAGTCATGGCTCTTTTGCTTTCCCTTTCAAGTCAAATTATTTTCATCAATTCTCTGGCTTGTCTATTTGGCTTCAAGTTCTGTCATTTGCTCTTTCATGGTTTTAGAGTGTGACATAATTTGATTGACATGTTTTAGGAATTATAAAATTGCAGTTATTTCAAAAAATGGGGCCGGACAGTTGGATCTTCTCATATTGGATACATTATCTAAGGTCTGTAGTGCCTTTCTCTTTTTAGTTTTTTTTTTTAATTCTCTCCAGCTAGCTACATCTGCTCCCCATTGTTGCATGAACTTTGTAGTTTTGTCAAAAAATAGAAGTGTGGAAAAGGATGAGATTCCATCCTTTATAGCTGTATATCAGTGTACTTCTAGAATTGTGTATCCACCTAACACCTTCCTTTGCCACAACACTGGATGTTTTTTATCAGCACCACAATATTGGATTGTGATTGTAGTTGCTTTAAGAATTTGTATGATTTATGAGATGTAATTTGTTCATGACCTTGAACATGTATGATCTATTTAGATGAGATTTTTGAAGAAAGAACATAAGAGAATAAGGGTATTTGCATTGCTTATTGGTATGCAAATCAAATTTTCTGCCATAAGAAATTGTCAAAACAATTATCTTGAGATTTGTTGAACTAGCATGTTATATGAAGCCAAAAAAACTATCTTCTGTCTTATCTTTTTGATCTTCCTTCTTCTTTCCTGTTTTTCTCTTTGCAGATCGGATCCCATAATGTTCACTTCTGTTTGCCTCAGGTTTGTTCTACAATTTAGTTTCCCCAAGTAAGTCTTTTTAAACTATGTTATAGTAACTAATATATTTACAGTCTCTTGAAGCTGTGAAGAAGCTATGTCCAAAACGAGCTCTGTTAATTGGAATGACTCATGTCTTTGATCACCATAAGGACAACGAATTTCTTAAGGAATGGTCACAGAGGTACTTATTTTCAATTTTACTGAACATCACTCTCACTGGCTGTCTATTGTTCTTCTAATTTCTAGTAGTATGGTTAAAATTTCATACTAGTGATGATTTCTAGACGACTGTGGCATTCTTTATCTGATTGGTATAAGATGAAACTGACGTTAGAAAGTTGTTTATTTGTACTTATTTAGGGAAGGAATCCCAGTGCAACTTGCACACGATGGTCTAAGGGTCCCCATAGACCTGTAAACAAGGTAAACTGTGTCCTCAGAGCATGCACCCTGTCCTATTTCTTGATGAAAATATCATTCTTTGTTTTCTTATTCATAATCATAAAACACATTTTATTCTCTTTAAAGCAAAAGGAAAATGTTGAGGACCGATCAGAATCTGACATACACAAATAAATGTGCACGTCCACACGCACATATACACACAAGGCAATGTATGACATGGAGATTGGGGATTTTTTTTTTTTTTTTTTATCATCCATGGAGATTAGAGATGGTAACATCGCCATTGTAACTAGTAAACTGTGTTCAATTCCTTTGAATGTTTAGAATCTCTATGTTTGCATCTTTGTCAAGGAATTCCAATATGTGTTGGTTATCATGCAGGGGTTTGTGCAAGAAAAATGACAAGGAAATTTTATAGTTGATAGTTTCCATCCCATCTGATGAGAAAGCCATAGAGAAGATATAAACTACATAGGTAGTACAAGTTGTAACCTAAGGAAATACTAAGAATTGTTCCTTTATGTGAGACAACAGGGAAGTCCAAATCTCCATATGAAGTTTCTGTTGCTTCCCATTTCCCCTTTTGCTGTGACTTTTTTCGTCTAATAATTTGATCAACCATAGTTACAATGGTATTGGAAGCTTACAATCATGTTGTTATTAAATTATTAACTCTTCACCCAAGTGTCTACTTGTATTATATTTATTTAATGACACGTTTAATTGTAATTTTACAAACTTACATGACATTATATTAATATGTTTGGGTTGAGGGAAATGAAAGAGAGAGTAAAAAACTCTTTTATTTGATTATTAAAATTATTGAAAGGGAGTGGAGGGAAAGGAAAGGAAAGAAAGCTCTTGGCTTTAGTTTTTCTTTTAATTCATTTATTCATCCACACAAAGGAAGAGAGGAAAGGGGAGGGGAGGGAAGGGTAATCAATTCCTTTCCGTTACTCTCAAACCAAATAAACTGTAATTATATCATTGTTGAAAAAAAAGATTGGGCCTAAATGGGTATGGTTGATGGCCTAATTTTGGAAATGATTGACCCACTAAATAACCGGTCCAGTACAGTCATGGTCTAGCCCAGTTGAGCCCACCCAGTTGACCATGTATGGCATTTGGGTCTTAGTCAAGGCTATTCAATCAAAAGCCACCGTGGGAGCAGTTGATGCCAAATTTTTCTGGGCAAGGTTTAGGAACTTCTGGTGGAGACAAGCAACTAGGCTTAGTTTTCACTAGGATATTAAAAACAATTAAAAAAAAAAAAAATCTTCCTAGTGACAAAACAACACCTAGACTTTGTTTCGTTTTTTTGTCCTCCGTTGAAGAATTTCACTTCCCCCAAATCCCATTTTCAAAAGACTCCTCTTGGCATCTCTGCAATCCTAACCGCCCCAGAAATGGCTCCTTCATCGTCATCAAATGACATCAAAGGGTACAAAATTCTCCGTTACCATGTCCAACAAGCATATAGTGGAGTTGACATTCACTATCTTGTAATCCTCAACTTTAAACCGAAATCAAAGTCCAGGATTCATAACCCATTACCATTTTTTCTACCCACAGAGAGAGAGAGAAAAAAAAAGAAAAAAAAAGAAAAAAACATTATTTTCTTAATGCTGGAAGGAAAGGAAACACACATTCTGAAATTTTCAGTGTATACAAAGAATAGAAAAGTCTTAACTACTAGTCTTCTAGATTCTTTTCAAAGAAGGGAAAAAAAAAGCCAAAATAAACTCTAAAATACAGAAAGAGTCAAAACGCGTCTTTCACAAAATCTCTTTTTTAAAGCTTTGTAACTTTCATTCCAAGTGTGTGAACCAGTTGAACGCTCCCATGATTTCTAAAAAAATCTAACCTTTCCCCCACGACACTGCCACCATAACTCTCTGGTCCAACTTTCCCGCCACTATTACTGACCCTATTCATGTCGATTTATTTGAAGATACAGAGGAGAAGGGAAGGTGACTGAGGGGAAAAGGAAACAACATGGCATGCTTTGTTCCTTTTGATAACAGAAACTTGGATATAAGCTTCTTTGTTTTCAGGCCAACAGTAGTACTCGTTGACGAACTCACTGAATCACTCAAGCATTTCTCTCTGTGCACTGAAAGTCTTGGTTGTGTTCAGAGTTCTATTTTCAAGAGCATCCATGGAAACATGGTAAGCTTAAGAAACCATCGATGTTTCACCTTCAATTTTCAATTTCTTTTATTAATTCCCATCTTCTATGATTTTCTCTTGAATATGAAATTAACACTATAACACCCTTGGGTTGACATCTGCCTCGTACCTGTGGACGAGATAATTTGCAGGTACTAGACTAGTCAAGCAAAAGATTCGGATATCAATGTTATCAAAAGAAAAGCTTGATCTCCTCTGATTTTAGTTACTTTTTGTTTCTTGGTTCCATTTTGGGAATGTTGGTACACTTAATTTTTAGTTTTGATGGTGTTCAGATCATATGGTATGGAGGATGGATGAAGAAATCTGCTGAAAACAAAGACCTGTTGACTTCAACCTTAGTAAGTTGGATTTTTTATGTCATTTCCTTTTAATTTCTAGCTGAATCATCTTCTAATTAAGGAGGCTACAATCTTTATTTTGTTGCAGTTGTCAATGTTAGCAGATGTGTTAAGCACGGCAGTCCTAATTGAACACCACTTCTCGGATGCATATGGTGGAGAATCAAGAGATGGAACCTCAGCAGCCAAGTTCACCACAGGTGACATAATCTCCATGAACATCATCGAACCTTCGTCGGGGGACCTAAACGACCTGTCCTATGCCAACTTAGCGCTCTTCAAGTCCCGTTTCTTGAAGATGGAAGGGGCAAGAGCAGGGGTTTGCTTGAAGTGCCTTAGCATGCCAAAAGTGGCATGTCTTTATGTATGGAAATCACTCCAATTCTGCTATTCATGGATCCTCAACACAGATTACAGGCGGACCATGTTACCCTATCTAGATCGATTCTCTCTTAGTATTAAGTATGACATCTTTTGGGTAGTCTATGTTAGCTGTGAAAATGTACTGAATTATCATGTGCCAACACCTCAGCAGGCATTAGAAAATAGAGGAGAAGCCAAAGAGGAAAGGCAGATCATCCCAAGTTGAATGAAGTATTGTATCAATCTTTTAAATCAACTTACGGCTAGTGTAACTTACATCAGTACTTATATTAATCAATAATGTTATGTACAATTTATATTTTTAAAAATTAATTATTGTATAAAAATTTTAACAGTATATAATTTTAAATTCTTTTCCTTTTATCTTTCAAGAGTTTAACTCATAAATATATTTTTTTAATGAAAAAAACATAATTTCACAAACAAAAGAAGTTTTGAAAGAGGGGAATGGGACACTTTGTCCGTGGATGAGATTGCAAATGGGTCTGTGCTTTTCATTAAAATTTTCAAGTACCAAGAAAAGCTTACCAAGTTAGCATGCATTAACATGGAAATCTTAATTTGATGTCAAAGTTAGAAAATTAAATTCTTACAATATCAGACAATTAACTTTTAACAGAAAAAAAAATCCCAATAATACGAATAACTTGATTAATTTATAAAACCAACATTACATAAAAAAATGACTTTTGGTAATTGTTAGTTAAGAGGGAATGACTAAAAAGAAAGGTGTTACCATTCTCACCTGTAGTCTGATTCACTTAAAATTTTGATTTAGGTAAAGAATAATCAATCATCATTTACCTTATTGCTTTGGTTTAAAATTTTAGCATGTCTCCCCCAGCTTGGCGCGGTGGCAAAAGCAACTGGCTAGGAGGGGAACGCCATATAAAATAAAGGTGATATCATATATGTATAATTGCCATATTTCAAGAAAAGTCTCGGTGTTTTGCAATCTGGTATAAAACCGCAAAACACCCTCTTTGTTTCAAAAAATAAAATATGAACGAAGTAATCATGGCCATTCTATTTGTAAAAACATTTGATTAATCAAGGGCAACAATTGCTAGCAATAAAAGGAAAATATGAAACAAGTGATGCGGAACAGGTTAGGGGTAAGGTAGGCTTAAGGGTTTAGAGGCTTATTTGAAGATAGTTTAGGCTATGAATAGGGTGCATGAATAGTAAAAAGAAGGTTAGGAGTTTAGTTTAGAGGACAGGGAAGAATAAAGAACCCAAGGAATCACGCCTAGGCACACTTAGGAATCACTCCGAAGATAGATTGCCTCACACAATCAAGAGCAAAACTTGCTAGAAAATTATGAATATTATTAATTGAATGTCTAAAGAAACTTACATACATATATATATATATATAAGAACTATTAAAACTCCTAATAGAACTCCTAATTAGAAGTTCTAATCCAACTAGGACTTGACAAAAATTAAATAGTTTTAAGAATAATATTATTAATAATAAACTACTAATAAAAGATTCAATTAAGCTCCCAACTAAGCTTCTCATCATTGGCCATGTGCCAAACTAAGGCATGGGCTTTGGAACCAACTTTGGCTCCCCTTTTGTAAACCTTTGGGGGTTGCTGCCAGCATGCCCCATCATCTCTCCCCTACTTGAAGAAACTCGACCTTGTCGAGTTAGAAGCATTGAATTCATCATAGAGAGTTGGATTTAATTGTTGAAATTCGTCTTCTATCCAAACAAACTTTTCTTTCTACATGCAATTAGTAATAGGTGCTATTAGAGTGCTAAAATTTCTTATAAAATGTCGATAGAATGATGCTAATCCATGGAAACTTCTAATTTCATGTAGAGAAGTAGAAGTTGGTCATTCTTTAATTGCCTTGATTTTATCCAGATCAACTTCAATTCCTTTTGATGATACTACAAAACCCAGAAAAACGACACTTTAACTCATAAAAGAACACTTTTTTAAATTGATGTAAAGCTTTTTTTGTCGAAGAACATTCATGACTTGCTATAGGTGGTAAATATGTTCCTCCTTACTCTTGTTGAAAATTAGGATGTCATCAAAATAGACAACTAGAAATCAACCATTATAGGGCTGAAGTACTTGGTTCATAAATCTCATAAAAGTGGTTGGTGCATTGCTGAGTTCAAATGGCATGACCAACCATTCATAAAGCCCATCTTTGGTTTTAAAAGCAGTCTTCCATTCATCTCCAGGTCTGATTCGTAATTAGTGATAGCCACTTTTCAAATCAATTTTTGAAAATATAATAGAGCCAGCCATAGCATCTAACATGTCTTCTAGATGAGGAATAAGAAATGTATACTTTAACAGTAATTTTGTTTATGGCATGACTATCAACACACATGCCATGTACCATCTTTCTTTGGGGTAAGAAGTGTTAGAACAGCACAAGGACTTAGACTTTCCCGAATAAAACCTTTGGACAATAGCTCATCCACTTGCCTTTTGAGTTTAGCATGCTCATTGGGAGTCATTCTATTTGCTAGCAAGTTTGACAATTGAGATCCGAGTATAAGATCAATTGCATGTTGAATATCTCGCAAGGGAGGTAACTCATTAGGTAACTCTTATGGTGTGACATTAGAAAATTTTGCCAACAACTTAGCTACCTCATTGGGTAATTGAGTAGCAAATTTTGAGTTCACTTCTTCCACTCTTCTTGCAATAATAGCAAATACTAGCCCAGATTTTCAACTTTTTGCTTGAAATTGTCTCTTAGTTAGTATGTGAAAAGGTTTGCTTTTGTTTCCAGAACCTTGCTTAGGTTTTGGCAATCTCTTTTCTTCATTCTTCTTAATATCACCAGAAATTTGTTTAGTCTGTGATGGCCTCTTTTCTTCATATTGTTTTATATCAAAAGAGCTCATAGGTTGCAATACCATTTTCTTGCTTCTAACAAAAAATGTATATGTGTTTTCCCTCCCATTATGATTCACATTTTATCATAGAGCCAAGATTGTCCAAGAAGAATGTGTGTGACTTTCATAGGGATAACATCACACAATATAGCATCTTTATAAGCACCATAATTAAAAGAAACAAGGCATTGTTGGGTTATCGAAATTGTCGTGTTATTAATCCAAGCTACCTTATATGGTTAAGGGTGAGGTTTTGTTGGGAGTTTAAGACGTGATACTATTGATGCTGATACAACATTCATGCAACTTCCACTATCGATAATGAACTTTTTTGCTTGATCACCACAACGAACCAAAGTTTGGAATATTGAGGTTCGTCACCAATCTTCTTCCTCAACCTTAGGTGCTGCCAAAATACACTTAACAACTGACAAAAAGGAAGTGTCTTCCTCCTCATCATCTACAAGATCATCAGCCATGTAAACTCCATAATCAAGGGGATTTTCTTTAGTTTCCTCATCATGATGTTCTTCCTGATCTTGTGCTTCTTCCATACAAAGGTTATTTTTTCTTGGACATTGATAGCTCATATGACCATCTTCACCACACCTAAAACAGGTCGCACCCTTACTGCCCTTGTTATGGGTAGTACTGACTTTCCCTTTTCTAGCATTAGGGTTTTGTTTGTTAAAGGCAACTGTAGCTTGTGATTGCATAGCAAGTCTTGTATCATAATTCTTTCTTGCTGCTGCTTTCTTGGTTTGGAACCCAATTTTCTTACTATTCTGATTGTTTATATATCCTTCTACATTAAGTGCTACTTGTAATACATCTTCAACACTATAAATAGGCTGTCTCAAGATTTTATTTTTAATTTCAGCTCTTAGACTAGCTCTAAATCGAGATGCAACTTGCATAGCATCCTCAATGACTTGACTATAAATTTTTAGTTTATCAAAATTTTGCATATATTCTGCCACTGTCAAGTTTCCTTATCTCAAGGTATAAACCTTATAACGCATCTTTTCTAGATAGTTTTGTGGCATATACTTTTCTCTCAATTTTGCTTTCATCTCAAACCAATTAGTTATTGGTGGTTGTCTTAGTCGAGTTAAATCACTCTCAACACCTTGCCACCATATTTTGGCTAACCCAACAAGTTTCATTTTAGCAAATCTAACTCTTCGAGGATCTGCCATGTCATACCAATTGAAATACTCCTCCATTGAATTAATCCAATCAGAAAACACAATAGGATCAACCCTACCTTCAAAATCTAGAACTTCAATCTTTATTTTCTTGGTAATGTCACATGTCGTATCTTGTGCCCCTTTTTGGCCTTTCCCATTCCTAGGTGTTGTTGTTATTTGGAGGATTTCTCCTTGTAAATTATCTAATTTCCTTATGACCATCTTCTCTACCTTGGAATCACATTCAGTTTCAAGTGTATCCATCCGTTGTTGTAATTTATTAATCAAGACACAGATTTCCTCCACATCGAAATTTAGCCTTGTAACTTGTGAATTTAGTTCAGCATTTGACACCATATTTTTGGAAGAAAATTCAATAACAAAGTTGTAGGATCTTTGCTTTGATGTCAACTGATGCGGAAAAGGTTAGGGGTAAGGTAGGCTTAAGGGTTTAGAGGCTTATTTGAAGATAATTTAGGCTATGAATAGGGTGTGTGAATAGTAAAAAGAAGGTTAGGAGTTTAGTTTAGAGGACATAGAAGAATAAAGAACCCTAGGAATCACACCTAATCACCCTTAGGAATCACTCCTAAGGGAGATTGTCTCACGCAATCAAAATTGCATCATACAATCAAGAGCAAAACTTATTGGAAAATTCTAAATATTATTAACTGAATGTCTAAAGAAACTTACAAACATATATATATATATATAAGAACTATTAAAACTCCTAATAGAACTCTTAATTAGAAGTTATAATTCAATTAGGACTTGACAAAAATTAAATAGTTTTAAAAATAATATTAATAATAATAAACTACTAATAAAAGATTTAATTAAACTCCCAACTAAGTTTCTCATCATTGGCCATGTGCCAAACTAAAGCATGGACTTTGCAACCAACTTTGGCTCATCTTTTGTAAACCTTTGGAGGTTGCTGCCAGCGTGCCATATCACCAAGCCTAACCGGCAAAATCATGTAAACCATAATGATTATAAATAACACCAAAAACAACATTGAAATGAATCTGAAAAAGTTCATTTCCTTCATATCAGCTAATGAATTTGGTGCCTCATCACCCGAACAACAAAACTCAAATAAATTTGGACTATAGATGTTCACAACTTTCAATTTAAAGCAGCTAACATTGCGCAGCACCCTAAGTCGAAGAACTCAAACAAATTTGAATATCAAATGATAATATTGAGAACAGAGGAGTAAATTTGAAAGAAAAAAAAAATACCATAAGTAAAAAAATGTTGGGAATTTCGAGCACTACAATCCCACACAAACGGAAGCGATACAGAAATTGAGACAATAATTTAACGTAATTCGACTTATAAACCTCTCAACAAGTCTACGTCCACAGAAAAGAGAAAAATAAATCCACTACTAAGAAAAAAAAGTACAATAATTTAAAAGCTCTCTCACTCAAGAAGCACTCAACACCCTAGTTTCAATGTATAGAAGCTCCCAAATTCTTCCTAATACTCCCTCGTAATCTACACAATGATTTCTCACAATTTCTCTCATTCTTTTCTCTCACAAGAGCTCTCACTCAATTTCTCTTGCTTTCTCCTACTCTTGCTTGCCCATTGCCTTTGCATGCATGGGTATTTATAGTGAAAAATCCAATCACCCATGCGCCTTTTTTCTTTGCCTCATTACTACCTGTCCATGATTTTCTTTGTTCATTAAATGGCTCAACATGCAATCTTGCATGATTTCAACAAAGCAATCCTAGCCCACAACTAACTAGGTTGGTGAAGCAAACTTCCACACAAAAAGTCCATGGGTTCACACATGGGGGTTGGACTTTCTTCCAACAAAAAATGCCACAAATTAAGTCGAAGAGAGATTTGTCTGTCACTTGAACGAAATAGGTTAATATATCATACAACATATCGTAGCAAAAATAACTGGGAGACTTCACTTGTTCATGCTCAAACCACAATTCAACTGTTGAGTAAAGATGCTCAGCTACTGAAACTGCTGCAGGCTGGTTTCCTGTATAACAATACTCACATAAACTTGAACTGTCAACCTCCACAACCTTCAATTTAACACATCTAACAATATACAGTCTTTTAAGTTGAAGATTTGAAACCTTAATCCTCTCTAAGTTGTTACATCCAATGATCCAGAGATTCTCAAGCAGCAGAAATTTGGAAATAAGGTTATGAAACTGCCACTCAGGGATGAATGCACTAGTAAACACTATGGTTTCTAAATTGCTACAATCTATCACCTTGATCCCACAAGGTTTTGTCCTTCCTTGTTGTGTCATAAAGATGAAGCTTTTCGGACTTGGTGCTAAAATTTCTATGAGCTCAAGGTTGCATTCAGGTTCAAGGCGAATCTCAACTGTCTTGATTCGTGGATTGAGAACTTTTATTGTTTTCAAGGTTTCACAAAAAAACAGATATAGTTCCCCAAGTAGGGGCAGTTTCAAGAGAAGAGAATTGAAATCTGTGTCTGATCTTTCCTCAGATCGCAAGTGTAAGAATTTCAGGTGATTGCACCCATCAATGTTGATGACAAACCAAGGACAGTCCTCAGCCATAATGGTTGAACTTCGAATACTTTGAGATGAAATCACAAACTTCTCAGGAACATTATCATCATCAGCATAATCATAATAGCAATCACAACTTGTAATTTTAACAGTGTGGAGATATATAAGGTTTAGAAATATGGGACAGAGTCAGAAACAGATCAGCAATTCATATGCAAATCTTCAAGAACAGGGCAGTCAGCGTTTCTCAAAATTATGGGAACATTTATAAGGCAGAAACATAAAGTCAGCTTTCTAAGGGAGCTGAATATCGATAATGGCTGGTCCAAAGAATTCCCAGACAATTTTAGAACGGTTATTATTCTAGAATAAGACACTGGTTGTGGGAAAGTACCATGAAGACAGAGCCTTAAATTTTTTATCCCATTTTCCAATGCTAATCTCATCCAACCATCAAGATCAGAAGAAAGATTAGGATCACTTATGTAAACAGAAAACTCCTCCAATAATAACTTTTTCCGGTTAAAGTGGTACAGAGAATTATAAAAAACATCTCTGAATTTGTTCAAGGCTGTAGTGTTGGGTGACCTGGGATGGAATGGTTATTTAAATTTTCAGACAGGATAAGATTCCTTAAAATGGTACCATTTTTTGGACAAAACACTGGTTTCAACTTCCTGTCTTCTAGAAAGCCAGGACATTATTTGATGAATGATGTGTCCAGGCAATTCCGAGATCCTGTCCACACCGGTTTCCATCTGCTTCATTGGGGTAAATCTGTTCATAATTTGGAGATGCGTAAGTTAAAATTGATGCTAGAATTAGCCGGCTAAGATAAAATTGCATAATTTATACTAACAAACAATCCTATATTCGTCATTACAACAACAATGGTATGCACTATGCAATAAAGTATAAAATATGGAAAAGCTGTTGTTGAGTCTGGACTGCACAACAGTACCCTTAGAAGAAGGGCAAGCTCCTGATATTAGCGACACTTCCCATCCATCCAAGGTTCCTGTTTTGCAGTTTAATGCAGTTTATATGTAAACGAAAAATAAATAAAAAATTATAGACTAGAAAATTCCACAAAATTACATAATTAGTTGGGATTTTTGAGATAAGAATTAATATACTAGAGAGCAAGAAAATTCTTTTCTTTTTTTTTTTTGAAAAAGCACCGTTTTCAAGTTCTTCCCATATTGTAAACAAACCGTGGATGGGTATTCACCGAAAGCTGTCCGGGATCGGAAACCTGCTCGGGAAACCGCTTTAGAAGGAGAGACAAGGGTTTTGGTTAGAGAGAGAAGGGTTTAAGTATAGAAGAGGTATAGAGATGGGCCATTACTGGCCGGCCTAGCCCATTTTTATGCTTTTAAAGTTTGGGTTTGGGCTTTAAATTAAAATTCTCCGATGCCTGAACTAATTTTGAGTTTAGAGTTTGAAACTAGAGAAGTTAATCGAGTTTATTATCAGGTCTCTACTATCATAGTCATTTTTATAAAAGAAAGTCAAATTTTAGGGCTTACATTTGAGCCGATTTACAAATTTTGAGCCAAATATTTTTAAACTTAAATTCATTTTAAAAGGTTAAAAGAAACACAAATCAAGTTTATATAAATTTATATTGTTGAATTTTTCCATCAAGAGATTGATTTATTTATAACCAAACCATAGTTAAAAGCACGAGGTGCTACTCTTGAAGGATAGAAGTAGGTTGTTTTGAACAACTATTGATGTTAAAGAATTTTAGAGTGTTAGAGTTGACTAGCTTATGTGATTAGAGTCATGTTAATATTTATTTATGATTTTTGCATAATATAGCTAGTAACTCTCTTCTATCTCATTACTCATTCGACCTACAAACTTACAACTTGAGCCTAAGATCATTTGCTCTATTTATAGGAGAAATTATTAGTAGAATACTTACATTATTAGCATGTGTCAATAAAATTCATATACATTATATGGTGTGAGGTTAAACATGAGATCTTTGACATGTCGACCTACCTCTTTATCACTACAACAAAACTTCCTTGGGCAAGACATCAACTAACCAGTTAATGCTAAATATTTACTTTTTGCTGAAAATTTGGCTTAAGCTTTGTTTTTGATTTAGGGTCAAAAGAAACTAGCTCTCATTCATTAACTTGTACACCACATTACCCTACTACTTTCCTCAAGAAATCAACTTCAGTTGCCAGTCTTTTGAAGGCAAACAATGCTTTAGTAGGTAGGATTATTCTAAGCCATATCTACCAAGCACATGGACTCCAATAAAAGACACACGACCTACATTGAAGCATACTTCCATTTTTTCCCCCTAAAACAAGTTCTTCTCAGTGCACCCTCCTTCACCTAAAAGTCCTTTTTGAAGAGGGTAACTATGATTGATCTTAAAAGCTAATCCAACACAAATGGAATAAACATCTGATTTTTGAACTTTTAAACAAAGGTAACTTGAGAGGGAAAGTGGGGGAAATCCAAAGAAAACAACTTTCAATTTCAAAGACTGGAAGAATTTGGTGCCAAATTGCGACGGACCCATTTGAAAAAATCTTAAAGATTATCATTATATCTAGTCAAAACACCATATTCTTGAATTAGTCCAACCTGGTATTTATTTTTGCCCAAATAGTAAATTCCTTGTCCCACACCTAGCTAGTCTTTTCCATTCATTATTAAGGAATTTCAACGGCCTAGTTCAAGTTGCTTTCTGTATACACACATGTAATCAATATGCATTCTGAAAATTTCTCCAATTAGGTGAGGAAGTTTGAAAATTTGCAAAACTTCATGATAACCAGATGGAGACTAAGGGTCATTTCATCCTGTGTTAAAAATTCCACAACAAATTTTTAAGAAATTAAAAGACCTCTCATATTTTGAATTGAAGCATTCAAATTTAAATCGAAAAAAGTTTAATAGACTTAGTATTCATTAATTAAATTTAATAATTAGAATTGATATTACATGTTTACATTTATGTGATACTAAATAAACTAACCTCAAACATAGTAAAAGTGGCCATATAGTTGGTAGGTAGATTTTCTCTTTGGCATACTACAAAGATAAAAAGGCAGAAATGGAAAAAAGTATGAGTATTAGGCATTCTGTTTTTTCATATGAAAAAAGTGTCAAACATTTAGGCTGATCTTCATGTTCACATACACATGCATCATTATCAACTTAACGTGGGGGCCAAAATGGGCCAAATACCTGTCCATGGACATACAAAAAGGACATGGACCCAATGACAAGGGCAACACTACATGTGAATGAGGCTCCCAACCTCCAATCCATAAAGTCCCACCATTTTTAATTAATCACTACATATATTTTATAAAGAATGTTCTTGCTGACATGAATGTATATTTGGGGCAGACTTTTGCGCCAGTTTGGTTGAAAGGATACTTTTTTGCATAAGAAAATTGTCCGGAAAATTCTCAGGAAATTTGGTAATTTTTTAAGTCAAACCTCCTATTTGCATTTGGAATATTATTTTTTTTTACAATTAATATTTTTAAAAATTTTTATCCTTAATCAATACCTTTTAAAATTTAAAATTTATAAAAAAAACTAAAAATTAATGATCTAACTCTTTATTTACACCTTAACTTATACATCATCTGATTGTTAATTTTAGATTTTTTTGTAATTTTTAAATTATTAAAAGTGTTGATCAAAAGTAAAATTTTAACAATGTTAACTATAAAAAACAATAATACTCAAAGTACAAATTGGGGTTTGGCTATTTTTATAAGGAAGTTTTGTTAAAACCTTTTTGAGAAAACTTACTGCATAACTCTTTAAAGTGGTGGCGAAGGTTTTTACTTTTTAATAAACATGTGGGATAACTTTCCGACCTAATAGTTGTGAAGAGGGCAACATAAGCAAAAATATCAATGTTATCAAACAAAATACTATGAATTCTTTAATAAATAAAAAAGTTATTAGAAAAAGGTTAAAATATGGACTGCCCCATCAAAATTATCAAAAAGAGATAGGGGACCCCTTACTTTGCCTAGGGCATTGAGCAGTAAAAATGATTGTTAATGGATAATCTATGCTTTTTACTTGAGAAAGTTGATTTCTTTATGCTTTTATAACTTTTGGATTCCTAGAAAGGGTGTTCACCAAATTTGGGATTAGCTTATCTCTAAATTATATGTTGGATTTTGTGGCCTAGAAATGATGAAAATACTAATCTAATGACTCATGACAGTAGAAATTTATCCTTGTTTCAAATGCTTTCTTATGGAAAAATAAAAGGGAATATGAATTTTTTTTTTTTTTTGTCACGAGATATGTCTAACATAGTGATAACATTTTTAATTAATAAAAAATATTTAAAAAATTATTTCCATCTCGTATTGTTATCTTCTTACAAATCAAATGATATTAATTTGAGATATTAAAGTTTTTGAGATATTGTCTTCCTTTTAACTGTGATACTAGTGTTATAAACTTAGTACCTCATGATACACTAAATTTCTCTGAGGATTAACAAAATCTTGATTCTAATTAAACTATAGATGCCCGTTCATGAGTTCAATGATGAGTCTCATTTTTATAATTTGATGCACATGTCTCAAGGTTCTAAAATAATACTACTAAAATATCTTAAAGATTGATGATATATTATTTAAGTGTTTAATACATCCCCTGCCCCATGGCCATGTGTGTCGGCCGGTAGTCCTAAAAACTCTTGTGGAAGAAAAGCAAAAGAATACACAGGGAGTTGCCGCTCCGGTGGGAAGATGATCTGTTTCTCAGTTAATAAAATTAAGATTTATTTTTTTTTTAAATTAATAAAAAATAATTTTTAAAATTTTTTTGATTTTAATATAAATAATCTACATTTAATTAGGTCAAAGAAGTCGAGGTAGGCCTCAGTTAACCGACATTATAACAGTTAAAAAAAGAGTTTTTTTATTGTGTCTTGACGTGTAAGAAAAAAATATATTTATTATATATTTTTTTATTATTAATATATATAATAAAATTAAAAATTAATATTAATTTTATTATTTATTTAAAAAAATATTTATGTGTTATAAATATTAAATTAATATTAATATTTATATTTTTTATATAAATTAATACATAAAAATATACTTAAAACTCCTTTAATTTATGCTTTTTAAGATGCAGTCAAATAAACACTTAAAAAAAAAATAGAAGAATTTCAAAACATTTATGAGGAGATTTGTAGGGCTATCAACCCTAAAAACAGAGGAAGTTGGTAGGTTTTAGCACAGGGTGGCAATGGCAAAAGAGATCACACGATTATAGAATTCTGAACAACTTCTGGCTTCTGCCCTGACACTGTTTCATTCATTTCACCTTCTACTATTAGCAATTATTAAAAGAAGGCGTTGGTGGCTGTGTTCCCACTTCCCACACAGTATCTTTGACTGCTGACTCAATGTATGAATGCCTAGTAATTGGCAATTTGGATCAATAAAATCAACTCGATTTTTTAAAAATAAAAATTTAAATTTAAACTTAATAAATAAAAAAATACATTAAGAGAAGTTTTTTTTATAGGATTTGATTTGATTTAATTTTAAATTAGTTAAATTTTAATATAATTTTTAGTTATTAAAGAGTTTAATTTTTTTTAAAATAATTAACAATTTGAATTGTCAAATAAATAAAAATATTTAAATGATAAACAATAAAAATTATCAATTTAAAAGATATATAAAGCTACTCTTTTCATATTGAAATAATTGTTTTTCTTTTTTTTTTTTAATTTTATCACCTATATTAATTACCCTTTAAAAAAATAAAGATAAAAAATTTAGTGATAAGATATTGTATAATTAAAGTTAAAAGATACTTAACAATAAGATTAAAGTGAAAAAATAGTTATCTATTTTAAAAATAGGAAAAATACAATTAATTTGGAACATATTTTAAATAAAATAGATAACTATTTTGAAATATAAGAAATATAAAAATGATATAATTATAATATTACGTGATATTATAAATTTATAATATAATGTATTACTATATAAGTATTTCTTTTCATTTAGAAATCCACTCATAATATTATATATATCCACTTATTATATAATTATTTTTTTTCATTTAGAAATTCATTTATAATATTATATGTATTCACTTATTTAATAATATATCGTATTTATTTAATGTCATATGATATTTATAAATTTATAATACTACATATTATTATAACCAAAGCATTACCATAATAAATATTTGATATTTGTTGCATTTGAATCTTTAATCCAAATATTCTGAAATTTGAAGAATTTTATTTGATTATATACAAAAATACTAACAGTATTAAATTTCTAATTTCTTTATTTGTCTTTATTAGTTCTACTTCTTTAAGTAACATTCTTTCACTAATTCATTTGCAATTTTTCCAAAATATTCATAAGAAAATCATAGCTATATGATCAATAATACTAAAGTTATTTATATTATCTCTAGTTACAATTTAAATTTAAATTTTAAATTTTTACGTATAAAAAAGTAATGATAAAGAAAAAAGAAGCATGCAAGGAATTTCAAATTTTGGGACTCTATTCCACTCCTTTTTTTTTCGACTGTCATTTCCTGCGCATCTTTTTCTTTACTAATTGAACAAAAATTTCTTTAGATTTAAGGCAGAGTATATGAGGTAATGGTGGAATCAAAAATTGGATTTTTCCCCTATATTGACGGTGGTCAAGTCAAACTAATCAGTAGACAAATCTTATTGGGATGTTTCCTTAGTACTGGCAATAAACATGCAATGTAGACATGGGATTCACGTTTTAGGAGTACTGTGGAATAATAATAGGATTAGGACACAAGCTCTAAAATCATGGAGTACTTTTACTTCTTGTCCCACCTCACACGCTGGGGTGGTGGGGGTGTCTTTCCTAAATTATTACTCGTAGTTTCTTGTTAGTTTTAGCTTCTAAGATTTCGAACTAGTTACCTAACCATATATGAGAATTTTCATTTTGAAAAATTGGAACTTGCAGCTATTTTTTTTTTAAAATTTAATGGTTATGGTATTTTAAATTAATTTACGTGTATTTTAAAATTAATATATTTCTAACTTAATTAAAGATATGTAATTTATATTAAAAATAAAAAATTTATAAAAAAATTATTTTTTATTAATCTTTTTAAATAATTAAATCTTAATAAATAAAATGATAGCAAAAACTTATCACTATTGAAACATCCTTTAACCAACATTTCTAAGCATTCACCTACAATGCGATAACCTCTATCATTTAAAATAAATTATTACATCAACTAAAGATATATGAAATACTTATTAAAAAAATATAAATTGAACCAAATAAATTATTGGTTTGAATAGAAAGAATTTAATTTTTTTAAATAAAATATTAAATTTAAATTTTATGAATGAAGAAATAAGTATTGAAAAATTTTTTTTTTTATGAAATTCAATATAATTTAATTTTAAATTAATTAAAATATAATATAATTATCAAATATTAAGAAATATGAAATCGACAGGAGGAATGTAGCTAAAAGACAATCCTATGAACTCTCATCGGTAGAGTGTACAGGACCAAAAGATGGCTTCCTTAGTTACACTAACTCTTGATCCAATACTTGTTTAGGCATCATTACCGTGACACATATAAATATTAAATTTATATAAAAATTTTATAATTATGTTTAGTTTTTTTTGAACATGTATAATTATGTTTAGTTTAATTATTAAAAAATGAATATTTATTATTTAATAATTTAAATTAATTTATAAGTAATATTTTTAAACACCTTAACTAATTATAAATTGATAAAAATTTAAACAAATTAAATATAGTTATATTATTTTTTAAGGTACATTGAAAAGTTAATTATTTATCAATACAAAAATTTAAACTTTTAATTTAAATCACATCAAAAATTTTAAATTAATAAATGTTAACTCAATTAAATTGATATATAATTATATTATTAATGTATAGTTTTATCATTTATTTGTACGAGGATAAGCATTGTGGGTGGCCCTCTTCTTACAAAAGATTTTGGCAATTGGTGCTGGGCCTACCACTAGTTCTACTCCTGATTTTTTAGTGCCCTTAAATCAGCAGAATTCCTAACTAAGAGCTAGGGGTAGAATTGAACAACATAGACTCTAGGGACCTAACGTGAACTAAACTGAAAATTCTACTTTTCTTTCAGCATTGCCGCTGTTCAAATTGATGGTGGGTCTTTAATTATTTGTCTTTAGTTACACTACTACTAATAAAAAATTTATTTCCTAAATAATCTCTAATTCCTCGGCTGGGTCCAGTGTTTGACTATTCCGACAACCAAGTCGTAAAAGAAGGTCGGCCCATCCTGATACGGCCACCTCAAGTGCAGACCCACATGGTATGACGTGGCACGATCACAGTGGGGGCACTGTGGAGTTTACTAATGGAGGGGGAGCAGAAGATGAGCTTCACCATTCCATGCCCCACTGCTGGCACTCATGCACACCTCATCCTTTCTACAAAAACTCTCCGTAGTGTTCCCATCTCTGCTGACCCTTTTGAAGGGAGAGTTCCAGAGGAGAAGAGAGAGAAAGATCTAATGGAGTACGAGAGGATTGAAAAGGCTCAGGTAACCCATTTGGGGTTTCAATGGTGGTTCTGTTCTTCTGTTTCTTTTTGAAATTTTTTGAAGTGGGATGGTGGGGGGAAGGAGTTGGAATGAAACAAATAATCATGTGCCTTTTTTAGTTAAAGGGTTTGTTTTTTATCTGGGTTTCTGGGAAATGATGGATTTTTACGGTATTTGGTTTTTAGTTTTTTCATGAATTAAGAATCAAGAATGCCCATTTTGCTGTTTGGTTGTCCCTTCTCCTTTTTACATGATGAGAACAGAAGGTTGGATTCTTTTTAAGTTTTTAGGTAAGTTATGATGGTAAAGGGTTAAGTGTTTGTTTTTCATTTCCATCTATATTGATGTAGGTAAAAGTAAAACAAAAGGAAGATGATGACTTTTACTATAACTTATCTGGGTGTTAATGTGAGCTTGGTAAGATGTTAATGTCATCCTACTTTTAGCAATCATTGGTTTTATTTTCTTCCTTTGATTGTGAAAAGTTTCAAACCTTGGGCGTTCTCCGTCTCTTTTCTTTTAAATTGTGGATTGAATTTTGTTGTGTACATTGCAGACTGGTATGATTTCTCCAAGTAAACTGAGGATGAGGCTTATGGGGCCTCATCACAGAAAGAAAGATGGATCAAACGGCAACTCCTCAAGAACATCTCCATCCAGGCTTGAGGATAATGAATTTGTCAAAAACAGCCTATTGGCCTCTGAAAGCGGAGACTTTGATGAGGAAGGTCGGTTTCTTTCTCTCAATCTGTTTTTGATTAAATCTTAGCTCAATTAACATTTTTTCAACTTAGCTCAATTAGCATTTTGTCTTGGCCTCAATGCAAGCTGGCAATTTTTAATTTTTTTAATCTTTATCTGTTTGTTGGTTAAGAGTTGTGTCCTTCAGTTGTAGCTTATGGTGTAGAAGTTGCAACACTGAAAGTTCCCAGTGAGACACTGGTGGTTTCCGGTCTGGATGATCAAACTTCTGGCCAGCCAAGGGAGTCACTGGCAAAGGAGAATGGTGAAGTGGGTCCTGTTAAATTGCAGCAGTACTCAAAAGTTGATACTGTTAATTCAAGTTCAATTCACCCGACAAGGATGCTAGAAGATGAAAGTCTTGACTATGATAGTAATGCTAGTTCATCTAGCTTTGAGTTCCATAAAGGGGAGAGAGCAGTACATAATACCATGAGGTCATTCTCAAGACCTATGTCATCCAAGTGGGATGATGCAGAGAAATGGATAGTGAATAGGCAAAATGTACAAATTAATTATTCTAAGAAGAATGCTTCATACAACCAAGCCAATCGATTCCCCATGACAAATGTGGTGAGAGTTGCTTCAGAGTCTACAAATTTTGATCATAGATCAGCTGTCACCCGGGCTGCTGACACCAAGCGGTTTGATTTCTGTCAACCTGCTACACAGTTGGCAATTGAGAAATTTTCTTTCATTCCTGCTGGAGGTCACCCTATTTCAGGTCAATATCATGGAAGAGATTCCTTAGCTGAACAGTGTCCTCAAGGTAAGGATTTGAGGGAGGTAGCTCACAGGGAGTTATCATGTACACAAAGTTCAACAGAAGATACAGCAGGTAAACTTGCTCCTTAATGCTTAAACATTTAAGTGTAAATAATTTGAAAATTTTTCTCCCATTATTTGCCGCTCTTTCTATCGCTTACCTAATTCTAAGAAAAGAAAGAAAATCTGCAAATACGTAATTATGTTGTTGCATGTGTTAGAGAATGGTGCATCGTTGCTTCTTGCCTGAAGTTGTATATTAACTGACTACAAATTTCTGATGCATCCGCATCTAGCCTGTTGATGGTATACTGTCATAACTCATAAGATAATGCCTATGGACATTGGTGCATTTAGTACATAGAAGTTGAGATATAGGGGGGTTGTTCCACTGGTCTCCTGAATGGATATGGTTGGACCCTAAAGTCTAAACAATGATATGATTGTTTCTGGATTTCAGAATGTTGTGTTAGGGATTTATGGAAACTAGGCGCAACCATTGTAGTGTAGTTATACTGATTTTCTTTATATGGGTTTGAACTTTGGTTAGCTAATGGGTTGAACGTCTGCTGATCCAATGGAGAGTACAAATGATGGATTTCTTCTCCTGCATATGATAATTCCCTTTTCTTTCCCTTGGTAGGTGGTATAGTCGGAAGGGGTTTTAAGTTGAGTTATTTAGTTGTCCTATCACGACATTGTCTTCATTTTCCTCTCAGAAATTTTGGCAAAGTATGTGTGTCGTGTCTTTTCTACTATTTATTTTCTTCTTTGGTACACTATTTCATTAGCATTCTTCTCTCTTTTTTTTTTCTTTTTTTTTTCTCCTTAAACTTCGTCTTTGTACCTAACAACATGACCTTGCAGTTGTACCTGCAATAAGGTCAGTTTGTATGAGAGATATGGGAACTGAAATGACCCCTGTTACAAGTCAAGAGCCTTCAAGGACTGCTACCCCTGTAGGGGCAACAACCCCAATCCGGAGCCCAACTTCTTCAATCCCATCTACTCCCCGAGGAGGGCTGCCACCAACACCCTTTTGTGATGAGTCACAGCATCCCACTGATAATGGCAAGAAAGAACTTTCAGAGCAAGAACTGAAGCTGAAGACCAGGAAAGAGATTGTTGCCCTTGGTGTCCAGCTTGGCAAGATGAATATTGCTGCTTGGGCAAGCAAAGATGAGCAGGAAAAGAACAAATCTTCAGCAGAAACTGCTAATATGGAGGAGCTTGAGAGGCACGAAAATGGAAAACGTGCAGCTGCATGGGAAGAAGCTGAAAAGTCTAAGCATATGGCAAGGTTTGCGTCTGAACCAATACTCAAAAATTTGTTTCAACTCATGAATTATGTTCTATCAATTCAATTACTCATATTCAGAAGTCTGTAAGTAACTCAGTGAGTTCCACAGGTATAAACGTGAAGAGATCAAAATCCAGGCATGGGAGAGTCAGCAAAAAGCACAATTAGAAGCAGAGATGCGGAGGATAGAGGTATTGTTTACTCCATTTCTCACCACTTGTTGAGTGGTAGTAAATTATCATGAAACGCTAAAGCTTGGGCTGAGATTTGCTGATGGTAACTGGTAACATGATGAGTTCAGTAAGAAACTGTCAGAACTAAAATCTCAAATTGGTACAAAACTATGATCTTTACTTGATTCGTTAAAAGCCTGCCTCTCCTGAAAAATCACAAATCTTTAGACATGGTTTAGTGCAATGTACATCTGAAAATTGATTACATTTGACCTAAGCCTTTGTTTAATTGGAATCAACACATTCTAAGATGAGCATAATCTGCTTATCTGTTTTGCAAAGGAGTACTGTGCTACTGTCTATAACGTGTTAAACCTTGCTCATTTCAGGCTAAAGTTGAGCAAATGAGAGCCCAAGCTCAAGCAAAGATGGTAAAGAAGGTAGCAATGGCAAGACAAAGATCGGAAGAAAAGCGAGCTGCAGCTGAAGCCAGGAAAGACACAGATGCAGAAAACACTGCTGCCCGAGCAGAATACATTCGCCAGACTGGGCAGATGCCATCATCTTATAGAATGTCTGTCTGCTGTGGTTGGTTGTCATAATATAATAAACTATGGATAGAAGTAAGATCCCCCATACACCTTAGTTAGGATAAAGCGGCAGCTAGTATAACTTGTCTTGGGCATTATTGAGGATGCAAGTGTTGTATTTGAGTGGCCTCAGTTTTCAAGTTGTTTACATGAAAATGAATAGTGCATTTGATGAATTAAATGTTAATGCCAATACTATTTCATACAAAGTCCTTGCTTCTTGAGACATGCCTCATAATGTTGTGGATTTAATGAAAAAAGCCCTGATTATCCTACGTGAATAACAGGCAAATAAGCCCTCTAAAATAATCTATCCCAGCAAATGAGCCTCCTTAAAGTTTTATTGGCAATTCCACCCATTCAAACTGTAGTACACTACATCCCAAAAAGTTGCAAAAAATCAGAGCAGTGCCTTGTGCTGATCTGCTGGGGTTTGGGTTTAGAGCCAACATTGGCATTTTGGGGCAAGTTTTTGGGCCTCTACATTTTATTATTACTATGTCATCATCATGAAACATAATCCCCAAAGGTATTTAACAGAGCAGGGCCCTGTGCTGACCTGCTGGGGTCTGGGCTTAGAGCCAACATAGCATTCTGGACTCAAGTTTTCGGCCTTTACATTTTACTACTACTATGTCATCCTGAAACATGATGCAGACATTTGTATTTTGTACAAAGACATTGATGACATGCACATCTTACGCGATGAAAAATTTAAACTTTTAAATTAAAAATATCGAATTTGAATCTTGAGTTGCGTATGGAAGGATTAAGAAAAGAGAAGAGAAGAGAAGAGTTATCTTCAATTATATAATTTATTATTTCATATATCAAAAAAATTAAAAACATTGATTTGTAGATGAAAAAAAAAATCATATATTAAAAATATAGATGATGATATAGGTGCAATTTTTTTTTTATTTTTTTATATAATTTTTATGTCATTAAATAAATACATGTATTTAATATCACACAAATTCTAAATAAATTAATCATTTAAATGACATAAAATTATATAAAAATATAATACAAAAAAATTAACTCTAAATCGTTTTCCAAAAAATATCATAACCTCTAATTATATAATTAAATAATGGACGGGACTTAACTAAGACTAATATTAAGTGTCACCTATTTTATGAAACCCAAAAACTCCAATAATTGATGGGTGAGACTTGACCGGTATCTCGAAAGCAAAATCCGGACAAAGTCACCGAATAACAGCCATGGCTTGCCTAGAATTTATTCCAGGTTTTTGCTGGAGTTTAGAAGTATTCGACCTTTTATTAGATATTACAAGATGATATGGATTCGGCTGGTTTCTTTGGATTTTTTTTTTTTAAAATTTTCAAGGAAGGCATCAACCAAACATTAAAGGAAAAAAGAGTTTTTACGTGAATTTTTTTGGTGATTTTTATTAGATTTTGTCCCTTGTTAGAGAGAAAAATAGGGTGGTAGTGACTCCTATAAATTAATTTAAGCACGGTTTGGGTGGTTCTTAAAGAGACTTGAACTCTATTTTAAATTAATGTAAGTACTTATTCGACATTCATGAGTATGGACGGTTGTTTCCACGTTATAAACTTTTTTTAAGGTTTGACATGACAATTAAAAAAATTTAACAATTTCAAATGTGTATCAAGGAGATTTTTTTTTTTTTATTATGTAATAAAAGGTAAGTATCTCTCATCTTTTATCTCACTCCACTCACATGTCATACAAATGAAATTTATGCTTTTTTACTTTCAACGAAAAAAGATAATCATTGAATTACTTTTAACGAAAAAAAATAACCATTAAATTACTTAATTAGTTGATTTTTTTTAATAGTACTGCATATGTTATTATAATGATTGTTGAGATAATCATTACATATACATGACTCTTTACGCTTATTTATTTTTGTGTGTATAATTTTCATTTATATTTAGAGTTATAGATTATAGGATTAACTCTAAATGCCTTTACATAAAAATTTATATGTAATTTCTTTTGGATTAGTAGAAAATTTGTATTTCTCATTAAAAAAAAAAACACATTAAAGAAAAAAAAAAGTGAATTTGATCCCCAAGCAAGACGAGTAAACTAAAAATACATGTTTCACTTGGAAAAAATTTCAAGTTTTTTTTTTCTTTTTAATGAAGATTAATCAACTAAAGGTTCTGTTTTTTTCTTTGTTTCTTTTTTTCTTTTTCGGCTGTAACCCTCCCTCGTTTATTTATCTACCCTATTAGCATGTTGCATGGTTTTAATATTAAAATCTCTTATTTAATTGATACAAAAAATTATAAATAAATCACACTTAGACCTTCAATCCAATAACGTTAAATTACATTTAAAATGCATCTACTTTTTTAGATAACGATTAAAATTTGATCCTTGTAAATTTGTTGAAAAAAATAAAATTATTAATAAATTACTTAAATAATTGGGTAAATTTAAAATTTTTGTGTACGTGTCACAATATGACATCAATTTGATTAGATTTGCTGATTCTTCTTTCGAGGAAGGTGCCTACCCAACATTAAATTAAAGAAATAATGGAGTTTGATTTCCGGGGCTATTTGAGTACGCTAAAACACGTGTTTTTCACTTTGGAAAAAAAGGGAGAATCCTAGGTTTTCAATGGAACTCAGTCAATTAAACGACGACTAGGTATTTCTTTAGATTCTTTTTCCAAGAAAGGCACCAAACCAAACATCAACGAGAAAAATGAATTTGATTTGGGGCCAAGATGAGTGCGCCAAAAAAACGCATGTTTCACGCATATTGAACGAGTGAAAATGCCTTTTCATTTCTTGGCCATGTTATGCTTGACAGAGCATGGGGTCAATCGAAGTGTGACATAGGAAATGCAATACGAAAGGGAAAAAAAAAAAAGCACATCCTACCCTCCACATTGAACCAAAAGTATTAGGGCCTGTTTGGCAATTTGAAGAGGAAACTGTTGCCATGCTTCTGAGAGTCTAATTGACTAAATTATATTCTAGTATTTTTAATGAATAATTTTTTAGAAAGTTAATTTTTAATGTAATTGAGAAAAATTAAGATGTTTGACTAATTAAAATATTAAAGATGATAAAAAAATTTAAATTCTTTTTATTAATTTTAAAAACTTTTTTTAAAAATATTTAAATAATTTTATAAACAATTTTAACATTTTAAATTCTAAGTCTTATTTTCACTTTCCTCATCTTCAAGAGTCCCAGACTTTTAACTTTTTTGAAAAAGTGCAAACCAATCAATTAAAACTTAAAAGTGCAATTGATGACAAAAAAAAAAAAAAACACTTTAAACTGCAGTACAATAACAATAACGCCAAACAGTAGTTTGGAGGGGCAGCGGATTCTGCCAACCAAACAGAACCCAAAGGGATTTTAAGGGGGAAGGTTGCTGCAACCCATTCCTTTAATGGGTACCATTATTGTTGATGGTACCCTACCTTGTCACCGTTCCATCACCCAACCAAAAAAGTACTAGCACCACTCAACTGCCCCACAACACGCACCCCTTGCAGAACGCCAGTCTAACCCTTCCAAAATCCCACCTTTAAGATTGCCCCACTACCCCATAAAGAGCCCCCAAAGTGCTCAGCTGATTATTAACTCTCGTCTCTTCCACACAAATTTCCCCTTAGATTTGAGTTTATCTTCACAAATGGAAATTAAAAATCTGCTAGGAGTTCATGATATTTAGCTCATGATGGAAGGAGACTGAAGAATGATAAATCACGTGTCATCCCTACCCACATCGAGCCGCCATCCTAGCCCCATTAAATTAGGGCACACTTGGACATCAAAGAATTATTGGAATGTCCCATTTGAATTTTGCAAAAGCAGGGTTTCATAAGAACCAAAAATCCAAAAATCATAACTTTTTGATCATTCAATTCCTGTACTTCAGCATTCTAACTTAGTTTGAAGTGTTATCCATGTCTGCCTCATATTTGGCATGAGGACACCAAATCTAGTCAGGCATTCAAGAACATGGTACATGTGAGCATAAGAAAAAAACCTAGACACAAGCCATTTTCTCATTAATGGAACAAAGAAACAGCTGTTTGAGTCGCCTTATTTCTATCGCCTTATTTCTATAAAGGCCAATCAATCACATGATACTTAAACTTTATGTTGTATGAATAATTCTGATCCGACAATAATTAGTTCAACATCAAGTTAGCACCATAACTAGTATGTTCAGCACCATGTAAACAAAGAAGCTAGCTTCACAAAATATTGATATACCTAACAGATATGGATTCTACAGTGTTTAGCGTACATAGGATCGACTGAGCAGTGCAATATAATTACAGTAGTAGACTGCATATAAACTTTTAAGCTAAGAGTTAGGAGGCAGTATCCACCTACAGATTGGTTGGATGAGATGCTATTATTACAGATGCGAAAAACAGTATCTTAATGGCCTGGATTGTTTAGTAATCCAATGACCCAACAGAAGCTATTCCAGAGCTTAAATTTCTTGACTCTTGCCGGCTGGTGTAGTCATCACAACTGCCGTTGGAGAGCCTCGGAATTGGGACAGACTTAAGAAGATCCATGCCTCGTTTGCCCATTTGCTGCACTTCTTGGGGCGACAGTATCTTGATACACCAGACGCTGCTCACAAACTCCCTGATAGAAGTGAAAAAAACGAGATGATGAGAAATAAATAGATGATAATAGGGTGGAACTCTGCAAGCAATTCAATTTGCAAAGCAGACTTTAAAATCAAAAAAATATTCCAGCAACTGCAAATTGTGCTAAATATGATATGATATATAGGTGATAGGAACTCACGGCCAGGGGTCATCACCGAGGAGAAGTACGTCATTCTCCCGGTCAACAAATACAAGCTGCCAGCCTGATCTCAGAGGGTCCTCCAACTGGCCTTCAAGGCCAAACATGCGAGCAAGTTCACTACGCAGCTCATTGTAGCTGCTGAATTTGGAGATATCCAATGACCTCCCAAAGGACCCTGATTTGTAAACCTGTTGAAAAAAATAAATAGATAAATAAATTACATATACATGCAGATCAATAACCAAGAATTAATACTCAGCTTGGTGACAAGAAGCTCAACCAACATATCAGGTTTACTAGCATGGGCAAGTGAAACGGAGCAACACATACTTAAGGACAACATACAAGGAAATTGCATTCGATGAACAAGATAATTGGTGCACAACATCATCTCACCTTAACAAAAGTTGTAGTTTGTGGGTTTCCTTGGCCCACATTTTCTGGAGACTGCATGAAGTTTGATTCATCAATGCAACTCGAAGGCGTCATTGCTGGATTAACTGAAAAATCAGTTCCTGCAGTACTCATGTAATTAGCAGAGAAGGGAATAGTTGTCGAGTCACTATCACTTCCAACTCCCCTAAGGCTCGAAATTCCATTCTGCACAAGAAGAGATGATGGCTCTATGTTAACACCAAATAAGAGATGGCTTTGGGGATCAGCACCACCTTCTTGGTCTATCGAGCACTCCCTGCCAGGAAAGGGTGGCAACGAAATAGAATTTGGAGACATGTTTGTCTGCGATGGCCGCAACTGTTCTGCCTGGGACACAGAACATTGAGGAGCTCCAGATGGAAGAAGTGGATCAACAGCAGCTCGCTTTGATGGCCAGCCAGCAGATGTCATTACAGGATTGGATCTAGGAAGGTTGAGCAAGTTAGATGATTCATCCTGGGGGAAAGAACCCAAAAGACTGTGCAGAGGAGAGACAATAGGGACTGTCACAGGGTTCCCATTGGAATCAGAAAAACTCTGCTGTTGGCATAGAGTAGGAATAGCTTGCAAAGATAAAGACTGGGATTGAGAGGCTGAAGCATACTGAGACATAGTGGCCATGGGACTAAGAATTTGCTGTTGATCAACCAGTTGCTGGTGTTGTTGTGCCAGTGGCTGTTGGTGTTGTTGCGATGGTGGCTGCTGCTGCTGCTGATTATTGAAGGAATTCTGGTGCTGCAATTGTTGCTGAAGAAGGTGCGTCTGAGTTTGCACCTGAGACTGAGGCTGATGCTGGTTTTCTTCAACACTATGGAGAAAGGCCTGAGGATGAGACTGCTGCATCATCTGAGGCTGCATTAGAGATGCAGGCCTTGAGGAAAGATTTTGGGGTTGCTGGAATTGCAAAAGAGATGCAGATGTTGCCTTGGTAGGATCTACAGCCCTCATCTCCTGCAGTGCGGCAGCAGCCATAACTTGATACATGTCAGTTTGCAAACCCATCATGGAAGCATCAAGCCTTGGTTGCATCCATGGTGTGACTCCAAGTCCCTGAAAGTTAAGGGACTGCATTCCACAGTCTCCTCGCAGCCACATAAGTGGAGAGTTGATGCCTAAATCATCATCCTTGATGCCTACAACCAAAAAGAAAGACAGGTTAAGAGGGGTGGGGCTAGAAACAAGTAACCTTGAAAGCTCCACAAATACAACACGTGGGAGGACATGAAAAAATAAAAGAGGCCACTGATATGGCAGATTGTGGTCATAGCGGTGGACAAGCATACCAGGGAATGAGGGCAATCCTGCTGGCCATGGTCTCTTAAGCCTCAGAGGAAATGGGGATGGATACATTGGGAAGGTTGTCAGTGGTTCAATCTCCCACAGGGAAACCCTTGGTTGTCTTTCCCCAGCCGTTGATTCATCCCAGCCAACCTGAATTAGATACCATTAGAATCTGCCCAATTCACATTTTCTACTGAACAACAAAATGGCAGGAGAATTAACTTGAAAAAAGCATTAAGAAATTAACAGTTTACTATAGCCTTTTTATTGCAACAGACCTTGACTGAGCGCCAGTGTGAATTTGGCCACCTAACAGGATCCAAATCACTTATGCCAGTTATTGTGCCCATATAGCTGAATAAGATAATATTCATTAAAAACATATGAGATGGAAAACACAACAAATAGAGAGAGTATAAGAACTTTTGTAATGAAATTTTTCAGTAGAATAGAAAATAGACAGCAGATTTAAATTTCATATAGGCTAATAACTCCCACAGAATAATCCTTCCATAATGAAAAGCTGAGTGACATCTATTCACCGTCCCAGGAAATGCATTAAATTTGTTTGCCAAACATCAACTTGATTTTTTGAATTAACACTGCATAGTGCTTTATTTCATAAAATTCTCATTAAAATTGAAAACACAGGCTAATTAGTCTCAAGACTCGAGATAAAATTCATATAACAACAAATATCATGCCTGAACATAGATACCTGGTGGAGAAGACATGGAAGTTGCAACACTTAAAGTAAAAAATTTTCCTTTTCTGTTTCACTCCAATGACCAATGAAATTAAAACAGATAATAAAAAATAAAATCATATGAACCATTACAAAAAAGCTTGAAATTACCGGCGAACACTTGATTCTTCTGTTTCAAACAGCATACGGAAGCGCATTCCAACAGAAACTCGAGTGTGATAGACTGCTTTTACAAATTTGGCCAGTGGTATGACAAATTCTGATGGACTAGCCCTAGATCAATGAAAATAATAGATATTTTGAGGGGCAATAGATGAGAACAGGAACAATAACACTTGATAAACTGATGCAAAGAACCATACCTGGGGTTATAAAATATGGTGAAACGACTATTAGTAGCAGCTGCATGAGCAGCAGCTGCAAGAAGGCCCAGGTGCATGCTATCACTTGATAAAACCGATGAAGGCATTACAGTTTGAGGTCGATTGGCACGTCGGATACCAAGAAGTAATTGATTTTTTTCATTCCTGAAAAGAAACCCCCATCCCCACACTTCTGTTTAGCAATGACATATAAAGAAATGAGAGATCCATAGCAAAGAACTCAAATTTACCCTGCTGATGCAAGCAGAACATGAGATAAACACAAAAGAGAGTCAACTATGGACAGCCAGTCATCTATACATACCAGATAAAAAGCACTGAATCACCAGCAACTAATCTTTTGGCACTGACAAACACACTCCATCCTGTCGTAAGTAGGTGCCTTTTGGGCTGACCTGCATGGACACAAGACAATTATTATTAACAAGTTCTACAATCTGAGGTTACCCCTCATCTTCACTTTGATGGGGAAAATGAAACTAATTTCCAGAATACATGACAAAAGAACCTAATGCCATAAGCCAACAAGTGTGTACTGTATTCTAGACTCCATTTTGTTCTTTCAGGGGAATTCTAGAAAAAATGTTAATGTGCTACATTGAAAGGCAAGGGAGAGCATCTTTTGAGACATCATCTCTTTGATAACTCACCCCGAAATATATGCCTGAATTTCCACTCATTATCATGCAAGTCTCTGGCAATCAACTCTTGAGCAGGAGGCTGCTGAGAGAAGTCCTGCAAATCAGTGGAAAGAGATTAGAAATGACACGATGTCTTTTGACCAAAAGAGTAATTAGAAGCTGATGCTCTTTAATAGTCATAAAGAAGATGTACCAAAGGAGGAAACACTTTTTCAGCTGCCCGGCGAGGAACAGAGAATCCACCATGAGTACTTGTGTCACTTGCTGTCAATGTTTTACAGAAGTAATTTGTTGGTTGTTTGCTGTGGGCGCCCAACTCAGCTGGAAGATAAGCTTCCTTTTGTTCTTGCTACAAAACAAAGTCATCATCAGTATTTGAAGAAACTCAATGGTACAACTCAAAACTAAAATGCTAGCCCAGAGAAATAGCATACTGGACTCAGTGGCTGCAAGGTCATCTGTGCATATACTTCGTCTGTCTCGACATCAGCCTGAAGTTTGAAAATTTTTGGGGAATTCAGGAACAAGAAGATGGTAAGAAACAAAGTTGGAAGAGTAAAAAAATTAACAACCCTTACATGCATGGTAACATTGTGCAGCTGACAGAAAAGTTGTGGAGGTAGGCTTGGATAGTTAGGTATATGGGCATCCACTTCCTTGTTGGTTGATACAGCAACCTAGGAAGAAAGGCACCAAGATATGCTTAAAAAGGAAAGCACGACTGCTCACCTATGTCTGATTATACATACAGGTGAAGAATTTTGAAACCTATAAAGGAGTTGAAAAGAACCAATCTGATATATACAGTAGAATTATTAATACACTTTAAGAATTCCCCACTTTGGTCAATATAGAGAGAAAATGGCAGATTATGGCAGTTGATCATAATATTTTCTTACATAACTAGCAAAACAGGGAAAAAAAAAGAAACATAAATAAAAATAAATCCATCAACAAGAAGATAAAACCAATAACAACACAGAAGTGAACTCACAGTAACATAAATATCATTGAAAACACATAAAGATGAGCATAGCACAGATGCAGAAATGAATAATTGCTAACATCTACTCTATTCTATAGCTATTTACCCTCATAAAAGACAACTCCAAAAACCACACAGAATGCACAATTTAAGTTTAAAACTAAGGAACCCAGGCAACAACAGTAGAATCTACAACTAATGGCTGGAAGAAAACCATCATAAAATGCTATGACAGGATGACAAGACTATAACTTAAAATGCTAGGAGTCCCTCATGGTGTATAGCTCCTCTAGTGGCTATACCAACATAAGAAAATATGCATTTTGACAGAAACTTTGTAGGACCATCAACGCCAATCTCCCCTACAATTTCTCCTTGATTACATAGGGAACCATAATAACCATTTCTAGAAAATTCATATGTTCGTGTTAAAAGTTCAATTGGGGGAAGTAAAGGAAAATTCTACAAGATCCCAATAGTCAACAAAGTTTATCGTTCAGGTGCCATAACCCAGCCCCCACCCCACTTTTTTTTATGTTGTAGGATCTTCCTAGCTGTTAGTTGATGTCATTATCAAAGTCAATCTAAAAAATTCTGAAACACCAAGAGAGTAAATATAATACTTGAATAAGGAGGGCAATACAAAGAACGAACTCCTCAACTCAATCAGAGAACCAACCAAGGATTGATTACGGTAGTATAATAGAATGATGTCTAAATTAATTATATTTCCATTTAAAAAGGTGTGATGGCATTGGTACAAAAGGATAAAAAAAAAAAAAGGGACAATCTTATGTCGTTCTTACATTATCTGCACTATTAATAGGCGAAAGAGATATCATTGTAATATATATTTTAAAGGAAAAGCACCACCATAGAAAATGAAAAGATTTTCAAAATTCATTCTTCATGTAGCAAGCGCAAGTTGATACATACCATCTGCAATAAACAAAATGTGCTTCAAAATCAATTATTACCAAACTACCTAACCTCAAATTCAGAAAAAACTAACCTGTTCACTATGACCCTGTGGGAAATAAACAACCCTACTTCCAACAGGGGGTAGGGAAACAAGAGGTCCCGCACATGCATGCCAAAGTTCAGAGTTCAGAACCCTTTTCTCCCCTGCAAAAATTATATTCTGCATTAATACAAAACTCCTCCAACCAAAAAGCAAAACAAAGAAATAAACAACTACACTAACATTGATCATAACCACCAATTAGTAAAGGCAATACATGTCATCTAAAGGTCTCATGATGACCTCAAACACCTTCCAACAGACACGGGTCCACATTAAATTCAAAATTAAAGCTTGGTATCAAAGATGATTAGAACCTACAGAACAAATCCCACAATTACAGGAAGAAGACATACACTTTGCAGGACAGAGCCAAATTAAAATTCTGTCACTGAAACATTAGAGGACAAAACCAAATTAATAAACTTTCCACACTTCCTTTCACCAAAAAAGGAAAACATAAAAAAATATTTGGCACTTCCAAGTCTAAATTAAAAGCAAAGAAGAACTTTGCAGGACAGAGCCAAATTAAAACATGTAAGAGGACGAAATCAAATTAATGAATTTTCAGACTTCCTAGTCCGTAGTAAAAGCAAAGAAGAGAAAGAAAATGGCAAAATTCAACCATCAAAGTGAAACCAATTTCCAACAAACCATCTTTCCATTGCAAATGCGATTTGGTAAATCTCTTACTAAGAGAGGAGTTAGTGATCTAGATTTAAGATGTCAGATTATAAAAGAAACAAAGCAAAAAAAGGACATCCCAAATAAGAGCAACGGCATGATCATTCACTCCCATAAACAAATCTAATCCTTGAGGGGGAAATGAACGAAAAAAGAGAAAGAAAAACCCAGGAGAAAATGAGAAGACAGAAGGAGAAACCTGTAAGCAAATAAGAGCATACCTTCCTGGGTTTGTGGACTGAATCCAGCAGAAGAAAGCCTCATTTATAAGTGACAAAGTGATTCTTCAAATTTCAAGAGAAAATCCCCCCAAGACCCCTCCTTTAACCTCAATTAAGGACAAATCCACCCAACAGAACACCCGGACCACTCAAAAACTCTCTCTTCTCTCCTTTCTCTCCGCACAATACCATGCCTTGACAATATCCAAACTCAATTGAGCAAAAAGCTATCTGCTTAACCTAAAATGTTACAAATTAAAGGTAAAAAACTCATTGAGTAAACAAAAGATGTCACAAAACCCACTCTCCTAATTTTTAACCGAAACCGGTTTCGCTACAGAAGACAATCGTTTTAAGCCTCATCCGCTCCTTACCTTCTTCCCCCCAAACCCCCAAGTAATCCACAGTTGAACCAAAACCTTCATGCTACAACACTTTGTTCAACACTTGCCCCACATTCCACCTCCAAAACATACCCAAAATCACCTTAGATTCTCACAGTGCACACAGCTTTTGGGTCCCTCAAAACGTGTAGCTACAAACCCAGAAATACCCACAAGCCAAAAGCACAGATCTCAGCTCAAGAGACTTACTTTTTCTTGCCTAACTAATGACTTTTATGAAGAAACCCAGATCTTGCTCACTCTCAAGAACCAGAGAAATTATGCAGAGCTACAAGGAAGAATCATGTACTGTTTATGCATTTCTCACTCATACCTCACTGTTGGAAAGATGAGTAAATATAGATATTTGCAGGGAATAAATGTTAGCTAGGGTGGATTTAAGGGGTACGGAATTTATGAATTTTGGAGAACTCTTTTTGTTTCCTGTAATGGAAATAGTGGTGGTGGTGACTAGTGGGAGAGGGTCTCCGCTTCTAGTACTGTTTTGCTCTCTTTCTCTCTCTCTCTCTCTGCACTCCAATCAATGAACACAACCACCATTATTTCCTTGTTACTTTTTTATATAGCAGTGAAAAAATTATAGAAAAGAAACAGTATTTTAGAGAAAGAAAGTGTCATGTTTTTCCTTGGAGCAGAGAGACTAGAGAGAAGGTTTTTGCTTTCTTTTTCATTTCTTGTGTTTTCTACAATTATTTCTCGGAAAGGGTTGAAATTGCCCTTGGAGATGGGAACAATTACTCAGCTACCATTTCTCTATTATGATTTACAGTACTACTGTTCATGAGAACTGCCTTTCCTCACTGCAATTTGCCATGGCTGCAACTTGCATTTCCCATCTCTTCTTCCATGTTACATGGGCCAAGTCAAAAGCCCAATTACATATCTATGGTAAGAAAGAGATGTTTAACATAACTTAAAGATGTTAAGCAGTTCGGAGCTCTTAATTGCATGTTAAAAGTGTTAAGTACGCGTCTTCGTATACTTTATTAGAAGGAAGCAAAGTTATCTTAATGCAAAGGCTAGAAAAATTCAATACAAAAACCTAATATGGCTAAAAACTTTTGATGAGTAATGGGAGGGGGAGATGTTCATGGTAAGGAAAAAAATCACAAAGTAGAGTGGTGTGAATGGAATTCTAAAGTAAGCATTAAATAAAGGAAATTTTAGGTTCAATAATTTACAAGAAAGTTTTGCATTTTTTGCATGGAATTGGAGGTTCCATTGCGAGAATGAGAAAGGTAATGCCATGTAAGCCAAACTCTCTCTTTTTTTCTTATTTTTTTTTTTTCTTTTTTCTCTTCATTTGACTTTAACACTGTCCCTATCCTATTATAGATACCACAATAAAATTGACAAAGATGTTAGAAAAGAAAAACAAAACAAAATGTAAGCATTCCTAGCATGAATAGTAATACAGAAAAACTTCAATATCAAACATTCAATCCCTTGATACATTTCTTTTTTCCCTTATATCAGAAGTTAGCACTCAACAATTACAAAAAAAATTTATAATAGTTAATCACAAAAAACTTTATAACTCTGTACTTAAAAAAAAGTAATGCAGGTGGGAGCATTCATTTAAAATTTTCTCAGATAGAGGATAAGGGTGTACCATGCATGTTATAATTTGTGTCATTTTTTGTCCATCCAAATCTATGGATGTACCATGTGAACATAAAGAAGAATGACCACGTTAGAGGAACCGATGAGTTTTAGGGTCCATCTCATTTAAAATTTACTAAGGGGTTATATCTTTTCATTGGGTCAATGGTAGGTAAGAGGAGTACGGTTATAGCCATCACCTAAAATATTAAAGTCCATTGACAATTACAAAAATATCTTTTAAAAATATTGACTATATTTAATTTAATTAATAAAAACAATTTATAATTATAACATTAATTAATAACTGAAATAATATTTATTGATTACTAAATTAAAATTAATTAATTAATATTTCTAAATAAATTAATTAATATTTCTAAATAATATTTTTTAAAAATTAAAAAATTAATGACCTTAATATTTTTTATAATGATAATAATCACAGCTTAATAAT